AAGGACTGGAGATCAAAAAGGAGCTGAGAAAATCAAGCATTTAACATGAAATGCATCTTCAGCTACCCTGTGTAATGGCAGAAGGTACATGGGCTGTGATGCTAAGCAGTTCTGTAAATGATTACATGAAGCGGCTGTGGCAAGAGCCTGCAGAGACAGAGTCTAAAGGGAACAAACAGACACCCAAACAAGGCCAGGAAACTAACAGTGAAGGCAGATCATTTTGCTGAGGTTTCTTTAAACTAAATAAAAAAAATAGATGCATGCCCATACAAAAATATAACCAATCCTACTGCAAGATGCAAACTATTCAGTCAAAATGACTACTGCAGTTGCAGAAGAATTAAAGAAGCCACCAGTTCAGAGGGCAGCAATCAGTCATGCCATTATACACCTTACCCTAAGCCCCCATGCCTACGTGTTCTCTGCGTGACGATACCTCTCCCTTTTAGCGTATGACCCATCATGGGGTACGTGTCTCACTGCAGCCATAGCTGAGTGTGCACCCTGCAACTAGTCCTCACATGGTTTGGGCTTTGGCAGGTTTTCTTCTGGCATCAAACAAGCGATTCATCATCTATTGCAGCACCATCACCCAGGCGATCTCAGTGTGGATTGTCAGATGGACATCACTGGGGCTGACCAGCAGAAATTAAATTTCAGACAAAAGATTCTCAATGGATCCAAAAGGCTGAAGCAGAACTCTGGTTCTGCTGCGCCTAGAACAGGTTGCCTAATGTTACATCCTGAATTTAATCTGTAAGACTGCTTTTCAGCTGTGTGTGGCCCAGCCTCTTTCTAGTGAGCTGAGCATTCATAGAGCCCTCGGCTGCAGTGAGAGCTGCCAATATTCACACTATTTGAAAGAGAACCAGGAGAAATCTCAGACAGAAGAAACAGATCTCTTGTGCTGACAGAGTAAACACATTTGGGGGGTGACTTTGCCAACAGATCTCTTTTCTCTAACAACTACTGGAGTGGATCTGCTAATATTTAAGAGATATCCAGCACTTTACAATGCAAGAAGCCACTTCCAGCTGATTATGTTTTTAGCAAAGTTAATTTTTTAAAGTAAATTTTAATTTAATTTAAGCTGCAACCCCCAATATCTCTATTCCTACCTTGGAAATGCTTGGAGCGTTGCATTAGGTGTGGTGTTTAAAGTTTTTTTATTGTCCCTATACAGGTGTTCTGCATGACAGCCACTCTTCAGGCCCAGTGAAGCACCATTACGTCAACCTTCCACATGTCAGAGGTAAAGCTCCGTATGGTCCTCTCCTGCCAGAGGAGTACAGGATGAAATGAAACGCTTAGAACCAATTTAGCAGCTGATGGATTTGTCATTTAGAAAGGGTTGCAGTATGGAAACACTTAATAGGAGCCTCCTTAAGACCTGGAAGTGTTGCCATTGACTTAAATAATACCAAAATGAAAACATAAATCTCCCTGGGTCTCTGGCACTGGATCTAATCTGCCTTTGTCTTGTACTTCATGGTCACTGTGTTCAGAGAGACAGCTCTTTGCAACTGGGTACCTAAAGCCAGATATGCTCCTGAAATCCGCTAGAAAATACATTGGCCTTTCAGGCATTCAATAGACTAAACCAATTAAAATAATAAGAATAATGATAACAGGATGAACATTCAGCATTATGAGTGAGGAACCTTTGAAATCCATTAGTGGCAGAGGAAGAGGAGCTTCAGTGCACCAGCATTCACCATGTTTCACTGTGTAAGTCCATGAATTTCTGCTGCTCCTTAATTTCAGAAAGACAGTTCAGTAGCCTCTGGCTTCTATATTTTTTTTTTCTCATCTACTAGCCCGCAGAAGCAGAAAAATAAACACACAACTAGGAGCTGTATTCACAGACAGGAAGTAACTTTAATTAAATATTGTGAAAGTTGAAAAGTTTTTACAGCTTGAATTTCTGCAAAAAAATTATAACAATCTCTACAGTAGTTAGTTTCTCTAACAATAGAACTGTACAGTGTGTGTGTCTATTCAAAAAGATTTAGATAAGAAGGTGAAAGGTTAGTAGTTTCAGAGATGACTTCATTTTAGCTGCATCCTAGTACAACTGTGAGGAAATAGGCATACTTTATGCAATCCAGTCATTGTGAAGCTTCACCTTGTTAAAACTGAAATCTGAATGTTTCCACTTAAAGCCATATTCTGTAAACAGCTGCATCTTTTACTTTGTAAAAGATAAGGGTGGTGCGGGGGAGATTTTTATAAATTCCCATTCATCAGATCACTATAAATAGCTGCAGCAAAACAACATTATGCACATTGTCAAAGGATCTTTGGACACTGGCGTAGAAGACTACAAACATCGATGGCTAACACTGGTGTCAAAATCGCTATGACTTTGAGTGGAGCTCTACAAGAGTAATTGATGGTGTCACTGGACAAAATATGGCTTTAAATTTGATTACATTGTCGTGCTGTTGCTTACTATGTGAATTAGAATAATCGCTTGGAATACAGAGAAGCAATAAACTGATGTCTCTCACATTTTCCAGTTTTCTCTTCTTTTATTTTCTCACCATGAAAAAAAAAAATTCCTGTTTTCGTCCCTTCCCCCCAAAGATCACACTGTGACATTCTAGTGAAAACCATTGCAAAATTCATACAGGAAGCATGCACAGTTGCAGCATCGTTGTAAATGATTTCTTGCTCGACTAGAAAAAAGTTATATTGTTTTAAGGTAACAAAACAGTTCTTTTGTGCTTTTCAATTCCTTTTTTTTTTTTTTTCTTAGAATGTTAGTGATGATTGACAGTTCTGGTGCACAGTACAATGTACAAGTGAAATGAATATGATTTGCATTGTTAAGGCATCCAATCTGCTGGTTTATATTTATGTGAAAGACAGAGAAATATACAAGCAGACTTAAGAAAGAAAGTATTTTCATTGAGTTCTATGAAGTTTCTCCCCATATTTAATGCACAAAAATGCGTCATTCCAAAGAGGAGAAATCCCATGCATATTAATAGAGTAAAACAGCATTAGTTTTTGTTAAGCCTCAAAAGCAAAGGATACATTTTTTTTAAAATCTACATAACTAAATGCTACAAGAATAATATGCTACTTTTTGCCATATATTGGAAAAAACTTCTTAACTTACAAATAATACAAAAATAGACAATGGCTTTTGGGTGGAAATTAAAAAAAATGGAAGCATGGTTTTAAACAATACTAAAAAAACCCTATAAATGAAATGTTTTAAAATCACATTTAAACAGCTAATACGACGGTGAATGACGAAACAAATCAGCACTTTTCACATAGCAAACATACACAATAAAATAAACTTGTAGGGGAAAAAAAGCAATGTACAAATTCCAAAGATAAATACATTATTTATATGGATATTTTACAAAATCCCCTTTAAAACAAACAAACAAAAAAACAGAAACAAAAAGCTTTTTTTTTCTTTAATTAATTTTGCAAGTATGTGCAAGCTAAAGGTAGTGAGCTCTTTTTGCAAAATATGCAGTAAAATTCTTTTTTTGTGATATTGAAAAACTGTCTTAAGACATTAAAATGTATAAATAGAACAACAACTTTGGCAAAAAATCACAAAAAATCTACAGTATTTATAACTACATACAAAACACAACAGCAAAGAAAAAATATCAGGTAATGCATCTTCAGAGCTTTGCTGCCTCTTTGACTAATAGTTTTTAAGAACACTTCCCAGATAATGATAGCAAAATTTTTGTAAAACAGAAGCTATGGTTTTGATTTGAAACCTTCCTAACAGCCCCACCGCCCACCCCCCAAACTCATGTTTCCATTTACTATTCAAAAGCAGTTACCTGTTGCTTAATATATTATGATACAAACTGTGAGGGTCGACTGATACAGGAACGATCGTAGTGGGAGGCGGACGGAAACGGGTACCTTTAGGTTGTGAGGATGCAGAACGGCAGACGAGTCTGTTCTCATCCTGCCCCATAAAAACAAGTAGATGAAGGGGAGAGGGGCTATGCCAAAAACACCCCTCGCATGATGGCCGCGGTCTGTGCCGTTGGACGGCTATGCAAAATCCAAATGGCATTTTATGCACAGCTCAGGTGACGCTAAAGTTCAAGAAGGCCACTCATTTGGGAAGAGTCTGATACATAAGCTAGAGAGAGCGCCATGCTCATCTAATTCTGCAGTTTTAGGATTACATCTGGAGGCACTGGGTTTTCAGTTCAATAACACTTTATTTACATCCTTACCTTTGCTTTCACCAACTTCCCTTGTGTTATTATTTACACAATTATTTAGCCTGATATTAAAGAGAGGTTACTAATCCCACCCCTCATCCCGCCCTCGTCATCCAAAAATATCAGCTTGCTAGGGAGTGATATCTACTTAATTAGAACATTAAAAATGCATCATATTAGCTAGTCACCACTGGATACGCAACCTGTATGAGCCGACCCTTAATTAAATGGCCATAATTCTTCTACGAAAAACTAACTGGCACTTCTATTCTGTCCCATACAGACTTGTATGTAAATGACACCACTTCATTTTTCTTTACACAGCTTTAAAAAAAAAAATATCATAAATTAAAAATGTGGAGTTCCATCTCTAGTGTCCCTTGTGTAATTGTATGATTTATAAAAGACAAATGGTGTTGAATTAAATCAAGCCTTAAAAAACACAAAAAAAAACAGAAGGGAAAAAAAAGCAAGACCCACCCCCACAAAATAATTAAAAAAAAAGTGGATTTTTTTACCAACATACAATAAATATATCTCCCAGGTATTTGGGATGGACAACTTGAATCAACACCTTGCAATTGTAGATTGTTAATTTCAGTATTTGCAAGGACAGTGATTTTTGTTTTGTTTAAAAATCCGCAGTTATTGTAAGATTCTTCTTTATTTCTTTTTTATTTTTAAAAAGGCCTGAGTAAAAAGTTCCACTCTGGGACTTGTATCAGATTCTCTCTGAAGCAGAATTCAAACTCTTCATTAATAAAATTCTTCAAGGCAATTCTTTCACATGGGGGGAACAATCATGCCAGATATAGCTGTCAGAAGGAAAAGGGAGGGGAGGGGGGAGAGAGAAAGGAGGGAAAAGTTACTTTTCTGCATTATCCAGCAACTTTTAAAATCCTCAGTGCTTTTAAACATTTATTAGCAAATTACTCAGCCTTACTGTGAATTAAATTTATATATAAGTATCATCCAGTAGAGACAACTATGCATACAGTAATCATGGGAAGCCTTATTCTGATCAGCAACTGGTTTAAATTGCAAGTGACTCTGCTGAAATTAGTGATTTTCTTGCAAAAAAAAGTGCACTTCCCCTGATATCAGAATCAGACCCCAACTTAATTTTCTGATTTTAGCTTCAAAATCTCAAAATGCTCAGGAGGCTTATACCTGACCCAGCCATTGCCACACATTCTATTACTCTTTTAAAAGTAAAGCAGCTACTTGCTCCATTAATGGTTGGAGTCCCACAGGCCAGCAATACTACAGATTGAGTGGGGGGTTAGTTGCCTTAGGCACACAACCAGTCCTTCATTCTCCAGTTTTCTCTTACAAGTTCAGTGTTCAGCCCTGGAACGTATGTATGCATTTCCAGGTGTTCAGAAAAAGACTTAAACTCTCAAATCCAATTTTCAAATTGAAATATGTCCTTAACTGCTGGTTTAGCAGACCGGCATCTCATGGTTTTATTACACTTGTAGCAGACATCACCAACTACATTGAGTCATATGTTGATGTTAATTTAGAATGTCTTCTCGTTTGTTGGCTAAGTTGAATCATCAGTATTTCTTTATTATGCTTCCTAACATCATTTTCTATGAAACTATCACCTCTCTTAAAGAGGAGACATTCATTAAAAGTCAACAGGTACAGTCTTCCACCTAGCTGGACCTCCAGCTCTGTTTACCAGGGACTCTATGAAGTACAGACATACCAAGAGTCCAAGTGATATACTGTGAGCAAGCACATCATTACAGGAGGTAGTCATGCAAGCTTATGATGAAAACTGTAACAACAACGTATCTTTAAAGTACTAGTTGTGCGGTTATTTGCCAAAAGGTAGAAAACAGATTCGCATTCAGGTTGGCGGCACTTCATGGGCACATCATTTAAATGCTAGAACTGCCTGCCATCTCAGACATCTGGACATGTAATTTCTTAAGGAAGAACTCAACCCTGTGACTGGTGCTGATTCATTGTGCTTTAATTACAGCTGCAATTATTTGATAAGAACAGAGCCAAAGTAAAAGACTCACAGATTTGGGGTTGGAGGGGGAGAGGAGGGAAATGTTTTCTCCACAAACACCACCATATGTGCAAGAATTACAAGTCTAATCAGCAAGAGGAGAACAGCTCGAGTAAACTGCACTGATTAAATGAAATAAAATGAGAGGAGAAGGCGAGAATGCAAAGTACATCCACATGTTTGCAACAGGCCATCCTCAGAGGTGACATGTTGCAAGTATACAACAAGATTTCAATTCTTGGAATTTATCATTCAGCAATGTTTTTATGTGGAATCATTGTACTGATTGTTTCTGCTCCACATAAGGGCTCTTCAAGGAGCTGAGAATGAGGATAAAAGCGACAGAGAGGTGACTTGAATTGCTTTAAGCCCTACAGGAAGACACTCAAGTGAGTAGCATACAGGACACCACCATGTCTTAGATGTTCCTTGCTGAGGTATTTCCTGTGATGGGCTTTTTTAGGGTCTACCATGGAAATAATCTGAGGATGTATTTTCATATTATCTCCATAGCTATGCTGTTTCCATCTCAAATCATAGGAAGAATTCGATATTGCCTTTTTTTTAGAATGCTTGTGGATTTATTCATCGCTGGTTGAAATAACAGCAACCTTGTTTAAAAAAATTCTCAAAGGGTTTTATTTCAGCAGTGTCTCAAATAACAAGTTCTGAGTCCTCACAATTGGGCTGTCCCTTTGGTTCATGTGGCTAAAAATGAAGGAAACCCAAGCCAAGCAATGCTCTCACTGGTGTGGTTGCTCCCTACTCTGCTCTTGGGATCCTGAACCATGGAACTAGATGGCATCAATAAAATAGGCATTGGCAGTGATGGATACAGTCAACCAGACCGTAATTCTGCTGTGGCAGCCCTGCAAGGCAGCCACCTACAGCTAAGGGTGAGAGTGTAATTTTCCCTATCTCAATATATGAAAGACTCACGAGGGCATGGTCCTGAGACACAGGTTTTGTCCCAGGTCTCCTTCGAGCTCATTGTATTACATCAAGCGATTTGATTCGTTTCTGTTTCTTACCCGAGAATAAACATTTTTAGCTCTATTAGTAAAGCACTTGGAGATTTCTGGATGGCAGTTGTTTAGGAGAATATAGGGGTGGGACTGCAGTGCTTGGACGTCAGTGCCTTTCGTTACAGCGCAGAGAAAAGCAATGCTGACAACAGTGCTCCCTCCTTTACTACTCAGATAAGCAAGGAGTTGAGCAGATGGGAATGAGTAGAGTCTTCCTGTATGTGATGAGTGCAACTGAGCAGAGTCTGATGGATAATTAATCCTCTGTGCATACTACTTCCACCCTTTTTGTCCTTTTCAGACCTTTCTAAATTCCAAATTTAGTGAAACTTTAAAACAAGATGTTGTTTTGCTTTAGAAAAATTACCTACACTTCAGAAAATGTCAAAACATTATTCCACAAAAAATTCTTAAGCTAAAAGATTCATCAAAACCAAATCAATTTCACCAAAAAGTGGCCAAGAATTGTCTCTCTCTCTTGGGACAGCACAGCTGCCTACTCTGGGTAGGAGCCCAAACAAAGGTGACATAATTGCAACTCCTCCCTTCATGGCTTAGACATTTCCCTGTAGTTACGTATCAGCCACGCACCTTTTGCCACTGGAAATAAATGGTACAGATGCAGATCTTAGCTCATTTTTATAAAGCACTATTGTTTTTGAAGAGCTCTGAAATTCTGAATTAAATTACAAGGCAAATGGCAAAATGATATCTTTTCTGCCTAAAAGCTTTGATATTTCCATTCTTTCCAAGTCTTCATTTATATCACTCTACTTTTATTCCATAAGTGCTACATCTAGTCATGCAAATTCTCTCAGCTGTAGCATGTTATTGATCCTGAAAACAGAGATATCAGTGGGAAACTGTAGATATGAGATCACACCACCTCCAAAAAGGGAGGGCAGAGACAAGAAGAACTCCACCAATGGGCATTATTTCTTCTATCATATACTAATTTGTACTTGCTGCTAGCAATAAAAATGTATTTTGAGTTTTACAAAATTGCATGGCAAAGAGAACAACAGATAAGCCTAGCTGTTGTTTTAGTGAGTTCTGCTGATATCCGAGCTACATAAGGAAAGCTTGATTGCTTTCTGATGTATCCAGAAGCCCAAGAGAGATAAGACAGCCTCCTTATACATGGTTGTTTATTTAAGCAATAAGGCACAACAGGCAGTGCATTTCTGAGTGATTATTACAAGCCCCAGGTGGTGTCAGAAGGCATGGGACTAAAGGCTGCATGTCTTTAACTCACCAAGAAGTTCAGTGATGACCTAGAAATGAACCATCTCTTGGTGTCTCATTCCTATTATGAAAACTGAATTGCTAAATAAAAATGAGGGGAAACACTCAGATCTGTGTGGTTTCTGGGCACTACAGATCTGGATGTGACATAATGAGGAGGCAATCAGCAAGCCCCACTTGTGTCCGGTGCTCTCAGCTCGTTCCATAATTGCTTTTCATAACTGAGTATGTGGAATCCGGGAATTCCATGTCTTATGAAAGGAAAAACAGTGCCTGAAAAAGCTTTCTTCTGTTACTCGCTTTTTCTCTCCACCCGCAACAGCAAGTTGGGACAAGGTGAAGAGAAGAAAAAAAAAACATTAACATGTTCAAAAGCTTCTAGCAGTCAACTCTTAGCTCCCTTTTTATTTTTTTTCATTTGGAGGTGAAACATTTTTAGCTGTTGCCTTTAAAATTTGTAGCATGTCGGCAGTGCCAAATTTTTAAAACACATGAAAACTGATCTCCTAAACACTACAGCTCATCTGAAAATTTTTTTGTGTTTTATTCTTGACACAGTCTGTATTTATTACAACATCCTGACCAAAGGTACCCAAGTTCTGCTTATACATTCCTAGTATTTTCACAATTTCTCTGTGTGTGTACATCTGCAAGGATTCCTCCTTCCAATTCACTGGTGTAAAAGGCACTGAGGACAATGCTTTCCTTCAGTCACAGCAGATCCCAGCTTTTATGAATGAATTCCTTCCACTCTGCCTGCTTATAGATTTTTTTTGACTGTTAACGGTGCCATCAGCATTATGCCCACAAGCCCGGCGTTTCTCTTTCCAGAGGCCGTAGAGTGACATGTGGAGTCTGTGGAACTATCCTCCCCTGGCTCTGCACAGCTCCTTCTGAACATGGCTTTAAAAATGACGGATTTTATTCCCTGCTCAATGCTCTTTGGATAATTTGCACAGGCACGTGGAAAGGAAAACAGACCTCAGGTCTGGGGGAAGCACAGCGCATACCGTAAAATCTTTCCCACCTCTGGCACAGTTGGAGGCAGCTGGCTGCATCTGCTTATGGAAAGTCCTTGGTCTAAGCGAGCATGAAAATGTCTCTCTCGGCACACTAGCGTGTAGTGAGGTAATTAGACAGGAAGGTTTAGGCACAGTGTTGTAAAACAGGCTGAACCAAACAATGAAATGGGCAGTGCTGGTCTTTGCAGCATCCTCAGTTTGACAAGCTTTTGTCTGTCACTCCCTCGGCTTGCATCAACGCTTCAAAATGTACTTAGGTGCTAATGCTGGAATACTTTGTAATGAGATGGGAAGGGATGCAGAAAAGGAGCAGCCCCTTAATACCAACAGTTGAAGAGGCTTTCAAAAAGGCCCTGTGCCATTTATGGAATTAATTGGCACACAAGTACATTAACCAGTGGAAGCTAATGTTTGCCCTGGTATGAGTTAACCTGGAAAATGCTGCTCTTAGTTTGTAATGTGTCTTCTATTTATGAAAGGCAAAGGTTTGCTCCAAGCTCTGTAATGGTCTATTTGCTCTCAGTAGGATTTCTGCACAAGTGTACTATGACAAAGGAAAAAAAGGAAGGGAAGATTGAGTGACGTACTTCAGGAGAAGGCCAGCCCCTGGAGAGACCCTGCAGTGGAGTACTTGCTAGAGTCCACAAAAGACTGGTCTGATAAAGGACGACAACAGGGAATAAGAGAGGAAAGAAAGAAAAAGGATGGTATTAGTAAGCTGAAATATTACTCGTTTTTATCATAACAGTAGGTCTGTGCTTTAAAAGACACAGCCTCTCAATTCAGCAGTATTAGTCGAGTTAGAGATAGGGTGGTTGCCAAACACCTGCATGATACTAGGTGGGCTGGTGGTGGAGTCCAGTTACTCTTTACAGGAGGAAACTTTAGCACAGAGACCACCAGGGATCCCCCACTGTCTTCTATCCCCTTTGACAACTCAGTGTCGCTTAGAGCCTTGCAAGGCACCGGGAACTCATGGTTTTGAGAGCAGTCATCTATGCTCCAGACTTGGTTTCACCTACCTTGCAGGCTATTGCCATTGGTGCTGGTGCAGGTGGGAGGAGGAGAAGTTTGCGGTCTCACGACAGGCGCAAAAGCACTCTTCTGTTTCACCGCTGAGACCATGTTGGCTGGTGAGAAGGAGAAAATCCCAGAGGAACTGCTACAGTTTGAGGGGAGGCTAGTGGAGGAGGCCATTGTCGGACTTGATGGCACAACTAGAGGAAAAAAAGACCCCCCAAAAGGCATTCCTTAGTATTAGATAATCAGCAAGAGAATTCTGCTTTTTGGATGCACTGGGACTAATTTCAAATGGCCAAGGGCTTTATTGCAGTTAGATTTCTGGTTGTTCACAAAGTGTCATCCATCACTATGGGAAACCACCTGTTTAGTTTTGGTTTGGTTTTCAGGTGTTCAGGAGCATTAATTCTAGGAGCTCCCACAGACTCCCTTAATTCTCTGTCAGTCCAACTCTTTCGTCTTACAAGAACATTATCCCGCCATCCTGTTTCAGACTTTTCTAGTGATCGGCATTAGCCACTGCCCTAGTCCAAACTTGTAATGTTTTTGTGTAGGTGGATAAGAGGGAATCCAGACTGTGTAGGTAACTCAGGGGTTACAAAACTGATGGGCGAGTGGTTAAAGTACAAAGCTGGATCTGGAATTTTTAACTTGAAAACATCTAAGTTCTTAACCAGCCTCCAAACCCAGCATTTTAAGCCGTGCTTTCCTTGTAGCAACATGGCTCCAGACCTACAGGGTTTCAAGCAAAAAGGTAGAAAGGTCTTAGTGGTGACCCAGCCAACCTGCTTGTCAAAAGTGAGCAAAAATAGTTGGGTTTCTTTCCTCTCTCAAACCCTGCAAGAACTTGAGTTTAAAAGGAGTTATTCAGAAAGCTGTGAATATATATACATATATACGCAAATGTACATATATATACATGAAGGCTGTCCAGCATGAAGCAGTCAGTGAGATGGCCACTCTGACAGTTTTTTACCCCTTTGGTCTCCTGGCACTAATGTTTTCAGTGTCTGTTGCACAAAAAAAACACCTGTGGATGACTGACAGAAACCGTGCTTTTCTTTCATCTCCCAATGGGAGAAACCACTAAACCTTTCTCACAATGGCCACAGATGCTTTCTGTGTTATAACTATTAGCACCAAGTCAGTCTCCAGCTTCCCTGTACCCATCAGCTTTGGGAAAGTTTCTGCTGTGGGGACTTCCCAGGAATTCTCAGTGACATGAAAAACAGTCGTATTTCTCACATGACCCTTTTATTATGCACAGGAATGGAGCTGGCATTTCATATCTCACCCGAGATGGAGAATTTTGAAAATGAAAGTCTGTTTTATAATGGTCAAGAGAAATAACTCTCCAGAGGATCTATGACCACTGCCTGAATACAGTCAATACAACATTCTCATTCAGAGCCATCGACTGGAATCTCAGCTGGAATGAAGCAATGAAGCCATTTTGGTTTACATGATCCAGCTTTAACTACACAACTGAATACAATGACAGTCTTCAGTTTTTCTAAATAAGTGTAGATATAAGGCTGTCCTTTTTTTTTTTTTTTCTTAGGGACTGAACTGACTGTCCAAAATGCAAATTTGCTATATGGGAGGTTTGTTTTTCAAATACATATATTCTTTAAACTCTATTTTACTGTGTAGTGGGATAAATATCTTTGGTTCATGTATTTATCATTGAGGTGTTAAGTGAATTTGATTTCACAGAAATAAAGCCAACTACTTTTATATTCAAATAGCATTGCCAGTTTCCCCTCTTTGTCCAAAAAAAAAGGTAAAGACCAATGGTAAGATCCCATACTTTCATTCTTCATCCTGTTTAGAATACACAAGGGGGCTATGAATAATTACATATTATAGAGTAAAATTCCTATCATCTGGGCATTGAATTATTATTTTATTTGCATTTATGTAGATAAAAATCACCCTATTTGAGTTCTTATTTGAGAATCTGATAGCATATTTGTTAACACTGAGGAAATCAATTAATGGAAATTAAATGTTCAAAGTTTCACAGTCTGACAGATACAATCTTAGTCTGAAGTCACTGTATGTCTGGAAGTACTTGCTAAGGGAGAGCAATCAAAGCACCTAAATTGAATTGCTACTATACAGCAATTAGTTTATTGATTTAATTAAGAATGCCACCTTTTAATTTTCAGGTCATGATTGAAGCATTTTCTGATTCAATGGATTAGGCATTAGCAGAATGACAGATCTACCAAGGAAACCTCCCAAAATATAACTAGGATAGAAAACCAGGGCTGGGAAGTGAAGTGCTATTCTAAAGAGGACTTTGTTCATAAATATGAAATAACACACTGCTAGAGTATTTTAAATGCATTACTGGCATCTGCTTCCAAAAAGAGATGTCTCATCAATCATGTTCTATTATGAATTCAGAGTGCGCAGATTCTATGACAGTAAATTCAACTTAATAAGTAAGGTACTATCTAACATTACTTGTTACATTATTATTAGAGTACAAAAATAATAACTGGTTAGCAATTTCCAGGTTGTAAGTACTAGTTATGTGGGTAAATATTTTCTTCTAAATTTCCAGCAGCTAAGATGCCTTGGAGATAATTTTTTAAATCACAGTAACTATCCCCTTTTTAATTCAGAACTCTAGCACTGCAATTCAAAATAATTCATTGCTGTTGTTAAACCACTAAACTTAAGATTTGCTGTGTAAACCTTGGTATGTTCAGCACTCTGTTTGTCCTGTCCATGCTAGGGTCTCAGCCTATAAACCTATTTATATGACAAGACCTTCTGGCCTGATTCTGCTAGCAGCTTTCTACAGATGTCAGTGGAATCTTTTATGCCACATGAGTAATGTCAGAGGAATTGGGCAGGTCCCATTCATTTAATTTTCTCATGTGAATAGGGACTACTGAGCTGCGCGAGCAGCTGCAGAAGAGGTTCATAGGGCTTTACCAATAGAAATGTATTTATATTTAAACAGGTTACTAAACCTTTAATATCAAAATGCAGAAAGTTAGTCCTACACATAAATATTTCTATAACTGGGACTGTAGACCATAAGCTCTTTACGCCATGGAATATATGATTTGTATGACTTACATCCTTGTGGCATTCACTGTACAGACTCTAAAACACAAACTCCAAGAGCCATTGTCACATTTTACTGACTAACACTAAGCTCTCAGTGAAGTCAATATAATACCTACTTACAAAGCAAATGGAGTATAAGCAATCAAGTTTAGGCCCAATAGTAATGCATAATTTCTATAAAGGTTATGAACATATTATTTGCTCTGAGGTCTCAGAAACATCATCATGCAGCTTATGAAAATGTCAGTCTTATTACAGTAAACTTTTCTGCCCTTCATATCTTATAGCTGGAAAAAACTATTTTTCCTGCAGCAAATACCCCTAGCTTCCTTTCATACCCACTGCAACAAAAAGTTGTGTACTGACAACTGACTTTTGATCCACTCCGATGGACATAAGTCACTCAATGCCATCCCTGCTTTCTAGCAATGCTGAGCACAGTGTTTCTTATTTACAGAGTATAAGGGAAATTATGAAACTATCAGCCCAAATCATGACAGACATCATTCTTTTTAAGCTCTTGTGAGACTTCTAAATAATAATAATAATTATAATAGAAGAAGAGGATTGCTGGCAACACTAATGTCTTCAAAGTGCTTCAAAGGTCAGTGGCTTGGAGAGGAGAAACAGGACCAAGCTCTGTTTCAAGTTCTCAGAATAGAAACTAAACATTGAGTATCACAGAAAAGTCACCATCTCCTTCTAATTAAAATGTGCAAAATACAGAAAAGCCATATAATACTCACTGGCATAGGGAGAATTGGCAGCAGATCCATTCAGAAAGGTTGGAGAACCGCCTAAATTTGACATTCCAGCATTCCCATAGCCATTCATGCTTGTTGTGACAGAGTTATAATTTGTCTGCTGAGGGGTGGTGCTTGGCACGTAGCCATGAGGTGACACGCTGCTTGAGTTGCGAGTAAAACCTTTTGTGGGGAGGGAATACATTTAGAAACTGGTATTAGCCCGAGAACAGTTTCTTACACAAACAGCTACAAGCAAGTAACTCTGTGCTACCAAGCCAGCAGCCTAGTCCAGCCATGGCGTGTTCGGCGGGGGCACGGGGGGCAGGACTGACCACCACCACCACCACCTGGGACCCCAAATTGTGAACCCTCACTGCTTAGGTCATTGCTGATGGGAGCACAAAGGGGAGGAGGGAGGCTACAGCCTTCACAGCTCCTCAGGCAACCCATGCCCTCGAGCAAAGTTTACCATTGGGTACTATAAGAACACTCACTCTAAAAGAGCTGTTTGTAGGAAATGGAGTAAACATGACCTACATTTTCAAAGTGAGGAGTACATACTGACTTAAGGTATGTTAAAAGCATGTGATTTTTGTTAACTCTCTTCTGATGTCATTATCATTTAACGCATCTCAAATTAGATGTTCACTGCACATTTTAGAAAATCTAAGGTATATTTCTCAAAGCAGTAGGATCTCCTTAGTCTTTGTGCCCTGGTCTGATCATTATGTTGGTAGAAAATGACTATCAAATTTGGCACCAAGTTAAAATTTGAATCTCTACCTAATTCTGGAAATGACGTTTGGGGAAACTCACATCCAAAAAGGAATATTTGTTTCTAGAAGCACAGAAATACAAAATGCATCTTCACTCCTAGAAGAAAAAAAAGCCAACTTTTCTTCCTACCACACGGTACATCTTTAAAATATTTTAATCTAAAAATAATTTCTATTTTTTTAGTGTAATGTAAAATAATTTTTCTACCCTTCTAGAAACAGTCTCATTCTAATACTTCCTCATTAAAGTGGATTTTTAAGTTGGATAATAATAAATAGAGCTGAGCAAAAGAGAGGGGAAAATGCAGGTTTTACCAAAATATTCTTGACATTTATTTTTTGTAACTGTAGGATTTAAAACAATATTGATTTTATACAAAATGAAAACCACTTAAAAGAATTAGAGAAGCTCTGAAAATTTCTTTGTAAATGTTTCTATTTTTTGCTACTTTCAAAATTTAGAAAAGTCTCAAACTCTGAGAAAAAGTCAGTGCTGCTATTATGTCTCCTGCAAAACCAAAGCAAACAGACAAATATTCAAGGGATACTTTTATGTTATAAAGAAATGTTACCTAGGGCCTGGACTGAGAGATCATCCATGCTTAGGAAAATATATAAGCAAGTACTTAATGTCAAGTACGTGCTCAAGTCAATAGAAATCCTTTTAAAATCAGTGGGATTTAAACACAAGTGTTATTCTGAGCAGAAGGAAAAGCTAGATATATGAAGTGCTTTTCCCAAATTGGGCCAAAAGTCACTAAAGCAAGCCCCATCTCATGACCGTATTGGGTCACTCAAAGGTTGTGCACGCGTGTGGGATGGTGTCCGTCTAGATGTGCTCCTAGCCTTCAGTTTTGAACCATCGCTCTTTCACTGCTCTGCTCGTTTCCCTGACTTTTATCAGAAAAGGTTCAAAGAGAGAGGAAGACGAGTCTTCTCCTGACCCTGATTGGTGGCTTGTGAGGCTTCCGAAACATTGACAGCTAGTTGACCACTAAAGGAATTCACTCCCATCATTCCTGCATGGACTGACGTGTTAGCAAGGGCGGGGAGCTGGTTGTGATTGCGGGGGACACTGTAGAGTGCTTCTGCGATGTCTGCTGCTCTTTTCAGGATTATTTCCTAGAGGATAAGAAGGGAAAAAAAGAATAAAAGTGTTACCAATGCGACTCTGACAAACCTTTCTTACAAACTAAAATGAAACATTTCCCTGTCTGAAGGCAAAAACTAGATGCTTTTCTTTCTAAACCAGCTGGCTGACGGAGAGCTAATGCTTATAAGATCTGCTGCCTTCGTGATAAATCCTGACATCTGTGGTAAGAGAGGTGGAAGTTTCAGTCCCAGCGGCCACGCTTCTGTATAACAAGACCAACTGGCAAATGGGTCTGGAGCCTACACTTACTCCCCCTTAAACCTATCTTTAGGGCAAGATTGAAAAATTACTGGTGGCGAGACATAATGCCTGTCATTGCCCATATTATATAGTATCTGATGAAAGTGGGCAAATGCCTCCAGGGTTAATAACACGTTGCTTTTACAAGCACTAAATTCACACCCTTTAAAAAAAAGAAAAAAAGCAAACTAAACCCACTCCAGATATGACATTGCCCTCTATATTTATTTTTGTCTCACATTGTAGCATCATATACCTTTAGCCCCTCATCTATCTATACATCTGAGAATTAGCCATAGTTTAGAATTGCTGAAGTAGAATGCATTTACCTGGTTATTATGTGGCATACCATAGAGTGCTTCTACTAAATCAGCAGCCCTCTTAAGTATTACTTCCTGTCAATATAAAAACAGAGTTCAATAAACTCCTTGTGGGGGAAAACAAATATTAGAATCTTTATACTCTTCTATTAGTTGCACTGTGTTTTGTGTTTTGTTTTGTTTCTTTTTGCCTCCCACCAGGTACACCTTAATTGTAACAACTCTCAGCAACCACTGAATGGTGTTAAATCACTAGTTCATCCTATTCGCACACACGCTTAATCAAGTCAAAAGGTGAGAATCATTGGTGCTGCAAAATAAAATACATCACTCAATTGTCTCTACCATCTGCACTATAAACCACTCATCGGTTTATTGCAGAATACAATCCCGAGGTCATTTACTAGATTACTGCAATCAATGTCATCCAGAGCATGTTATGAATCCCTTCGATGTGTTTATTTTATTCTTAATTGCATACTGCAGGAATTGTGACCTTACCCAGCAGGCCACGTTCAAAAGATATCCAATCAGTCCTGTGCTACTGGTAATGTAACCTTTCAACTTCTTTGGTTTGTATCCTGATATGATGGGTCAGAGCAGGATCCATGTACATAAAATGATTCACAAGGGGAAAACACATGCAGTATGAGAGAATAGCCCAGTACGGTGCAGTGTTTCCTGCAAAAATTCCCTGCATGGACAGCAGAATTTAAAACAGACTGGTGTTTAGTTCTCCATTTTGGGCATTTATTTTTTTTTTTTATTTTCCTATTTGTTCCCTTTCACTTAATATTTCTTGGAGTATTTTAAACTGGCTCTCAAGTAATAATAACATTTCCTCTGTTCCTACATTTTACAGTGTGGAAAAATCTCTATGAACAATCCTGATAGAAAATGTAAAAATATATTGCAGAAATAACCGAGAAGAATTTTTTTTCTTATTCTTTCAAAGCATCTAGCAGATTCCCAACTGGCTGATCATAAATAGTCGAGACTGTCCTTTGAGTAAAACCATATATTTTTGTCATTCCCGGTCCCTAAGTATTGCTCTAGTTTACTAACACGATGCTATTCACCACAGCATATTTCTGCAGGTAGCTTACAATAATAGTACCAGTTCTAAGGATTTTACAGTTTTCTACAAAGTTAAACTTTTTAACTTAAAATATTTTACACAATAGCCATATTTTATACCAAAAAGAAACAGTAATGCTCAATTTTCATATACTGTAGACTCTGATCAGAAAATAGAGATATAATTGCGTTCATTTTGCTGTCACCATAACCTCTTCAAAAATCCTTGAACAACTCTTCAAATGACAAGCTTTTAGATGCGTATTAGCATTTTTTTCAATTTTAAATTCTCTATAATATAAGATAAAATAGTTGTCATACTGCAGTAACTACTTATGACATATATAATGTCCTAAATTCAAAAATGAGATGGAGGATTTTTGTACTCCCAGTAAACATTTAGGCTTGCCTTCTGCTGCACACACCCCTCTCTCAGAATACACATTTAAATTATTTTCCACATATGAAGCGAGATGTAATATATAATTGATGGATTTTTAAATCACTACATTTGAAACAGATTCTGAGGATTTAAGTTGCTACAGCCTTTTTCTGGGTTTCATGTTTGTTTGGTTTTGGTTTTGTTTCTCTTCCTGTTGTGGTTGTTGTTTTGGGTTTGGGGTTTTTTTTTGGTGTAGCTTGACCACAATAGTTAGCAGTATAATCATGGACAGACAGACTACAAATGACATCCAGGTACAATCAATTCTTGTTGCTTTACCAGAATCATCAGAACCCTGAGTTGCCCTTTTTGCCTCATACTGAAGATACAAACTAGAGAAGAATGGAGATGTTACTAAAAAATGTTATCTTTTTCAATCCATGATTTTAGGTGGCAAATTACTGCACAGGTGTTTGACTTTGCAAACTAGGATTTATTTCACCTCAGTAGAAATTGTTTTCACTATATTTTTCACTGATGGAAAATTAGAATGTGATACAGAGCCCACAAACTGCTTTGGAATATTGTTAACCTAAGCTGTCATTATGCCAAATTACTAAAAAAAAGAGAAAGTTTAAATAGTCATTTCTGCTCTACCTGACTAATCACAGTTATTTATGTAATGCTGAGCTAAAAACCTTAGAATGCATCTAAAAAGAGATTGAAGACCATGTTAAAAAATGAGGTAATTACATGGAGTCTTACAGCCATTCTACCTAATATCAAATATATTCCAGTTCTTAAACACTGGAAGTTCTTTGATGCCATATCATATTGCATGTAAATAAAACTAATTGTCATGATGGTTTATTGAAATATGCTTGACAAGTTGCATTCAATTTTCCTAGCTAGTCAACGGTTTTGTTTTTGGTTTTTTTTCCCCAACATTTTCAGAGTCTGGAAATTTGAGTTTCATACTTTCTCTAACAATATTTTCACACAATAAAAGCATTTCTTGTTTCTGACGTTTTCAGATCATACAAAGTAGATGTTACACAAAAACTCCTGTGTCAAATAGTGGTATCTTCTATTCCAGAGCTGACGGTAGTTCTTTTAGACACAAACTAGCTTTAAAAATACACAATAAAATGCTACTACAGACATGCTCAAGCTATTAACTTCTTGTTTTCTGAATGCATCTTAAACCCTTTGCAGCTCTGCTTAAATTACCATAGAAGCTACTGTTACGACTGCACATACAAAGGAGCCCCAAAAGTCCTCTATAAGTTAGAGCAACAGACCTTGCAAGGTGCTTGGATTGCAGTGACCAGAAAATTGTTCTCACCTCCATGTCATTACGCTCACAGTGAAGCAGCCCCCGAGCATGTTTGTGTTTGGGATCTAATATATTGCCTTTCAATCAGAGCTGAGAGCCACTGAACACATAGACAGAACATGACGAGCAGGTCAGGAAAGCAATAAAGATTTTACAGAGCTGTCCAAGGTGCTAAATTTACTCAATAATGGGTTTGGCACCATAGTGTTAACCTCTCATTTACTACCAGTTTGAGGGACTAAATTGAAGTAGCTGACTTCATTTACCTTGAAATGTATATTTTATGACATTATGTAAGTAGATTGAAAGGGCACTGCAGTTTTAACAATTTAAAGGCTAGAGCATGTTTAAGATGAAGCTCGAATATTTACTGTATACTGCACTTAAACTATATTGTATATTAAAATGCATTGATTAAATTTGTAAAAGGTATTATAAAAAAGGACAGCTAATACAAAAGATCTATGTCTTTTAAAATCCAATTGATACTACATGTTACCACTGCGATGGTGACAGATAAACAGATAGATAGGTGGACAGAGCAGCAGACAGACATATCAAAAAGTGAGTGAAACTCACATTCTATAAAAAGAAATCTCTGCATAAGCTCAAGCTCTGTTATTCCAGATATTCTTTTGTTCACAGAAATTTTTCTTTGCCTTCATCTCAGAAGCCTAGATTTTCAGAGCAGTAAGTGGGCATCATGTAAGGTCCTTCCAATTGAATATGTGAGTGGAAATATTTCCTGAGAGAGACAGTGTTTGACTAAAGCTAATATCTAATTTATGGGGGCATTTGTCAAGAAAGATCCACTCTTCTATCAATGCTAAAAGTCTGACAGCTTTTGGTCTAGAATAAAGGACTTTGCAGCATTTAGTTAGAGCTAAAGTGAGGGTCGTCTTGTCTTACATTTTATTTCAAATGAGCATAATTTTATTTCTATCAAAATAACAATTGAGCAAATATTGAAAAGAGGAAAGATTACTTTAGTGATTAAATATTTTGCACCAGAACTCTGCCCTCCATGCAGCTACACACCACAGATCTAGAGTCCATTTTTATTCCACACTGAAGCTGATTTTCTACTGAGATATTTTTACTTTTTTAATTTTTGAAACAGGAATGCAATTAAATATTTTAATAATTTTTTTCTTCCTGAAAATACTAAGGGGTGTTTACATAAGCAAAAGAGGAGGCTGGGTAGTGAAGTCTGCTGCAACTTTGCATATTCCAAAATTACTGTAGGAAAGATTATATAAATCATACTGGAATGACTGTGCTTTTGAAGCACAAAGACTGAAATTCAGACTGAATCCACTTCTGACATAAGATAGCTCGAACCAACATTACAGCAACTCTCCATCTTTTGTTTCTGCCATGCATTCCCTTCGGAAGGAATTCATTAAGGTCATGAAACTTGCATTTCAAGTTTTATCATTATGAAAACATTTTGTGTCAAGTTTTATCATGATAAACACATTTTGTGTCAGCTTTAAAAAAGATGGGCTATTTCTTCTGTTGACATCTGCTTACCTTTTATTCAGCAGCTAATGAAAAAAATCCACTCTGTGTCCCAAAAGGGCTGTGTGTGTAGTCAGCTATAGGATACCTAGAGTTACACTGAGTTATTCGGCTTAAGTAACTAAATTAGATAATGTTCAAGGTGCTTGTTAAATCTAAATGAATTTTGTCAAGAAGCAGCTGACCACAATATATAATACTCATCAGCCACATATTGTATTATTGAGACCACCAAAGGATTTATGTACTTGTGGAGGGCGTGGGGGGGAAGCTGTTCTAGCGTACTCTGAGGCATTTATCTTATGTGTTGTCTAGATATCATATCACCTTCTAATGCTCTTTAGCATTGTAATACAAGAGAGAGCTCATTCATCTTCTGAGAGGGTACTTAGGGATGATGATGTCATTCATACTTCCTTGACTCTTATGTCTGACCTCCTGGCTCTGCCTTCTAACTTCCTACTCTCATGGCTACTTGCAAGAAAAAAACCTCTTCTGCAGAGTCAAAATGCTGAACATCAGACTCCAGTTCCCTTCTTCACCTTGGAAAGGTCACATTGTGAAATTTCAAGTCAAAATTACAATAATTTTTCCTCAAACTTTTTCTTTGTTTTTCAATGGGTGAAACTCTAAATATGCCAGTTAAGGATATCTGTTAGAACTAAGTTTTAAACTTCTACTGAAAATTTGCATATGCATTATATTTTAAAAGATAAAGATAAAATTGTGAACACCTCTTTCAAGAGTAAAGGCAAACCC